GCCCCGACTCCGACTTTCAGTGTTGTTGTGTCCTTGGGCAAGACACTTCACCTGCATTGTCTACTGATGGTGGTCAGAGGGCCCGGTGGCGCTAGTGTAAGGCAGCCCCGCTTCTGTCAGTGAGCCCCAGGGCAGCTGTGGCTACACTGTAGCTTGCCACCGTGAGTGAATGAATGTTGTGTAAAGCGCTTTGCTCAAGTCTTCTGACTTGAATAAAGGTGCTATATAAGTACATGCCATTTACCATAGTGACAGGGCAATGGGTCACCTTTTGCAGGGTTGGTCTCCATCTCTGTTGGAACCAGGGTTTGGTGGAAGCTCTGTTCTTTCCCTTACACCAAGTCAAGGGCTGGACTATCATGGTTTTGAAATGAAAAAACAAGGGAACAGCTTTGGGTCTGAAGGGGGAAACTCAATCAGATCAGCCACCACAAAATGATGCAAACACACTGGGGAAGAATTTGTGACGATAAAATGTTGTCTTGTGTATCTTCAATTCCTTTGGAAAAGTGTGGAAGCTCATGTAAGAATTGCACTTCAATGATGCTATGCAGAATAGCACACAACTGTGGTGATCAGACCTTGTTGAAAATCAAAAAAAAATTCTCCTTTTTATTTAAATATTCTTTATTTAGGACAGAAAAGGTAAATGAAAAGTGGGAGATACTGGCACGTAAATAACGAAACATTTACAGGAGGTATGGGGTGGCTAGCGGCTGGTTAGCTCAAGTGGAAAGTCACCCACCCTGAAAACTGGGTTCGTATCCCGGTTGGGAGGAATGAGTTGCTAGTGTGGGTCCTTAGACAACACCTGTCACACTAATGCCTGCTTTGGGGAGTGGTGGCCTAGTGGTTAGGACTTTGTGCTTGAGGTTTGAGTTCAAGTCCCACTCCCACAGAGTGCCATACAATGGCAGCCCACTGCATCCCCAAGGGGATGGGTTAAATGCAGGGAGTTAATTCCATTGCTCCGTTACTTGTGACAGTGTAACGACAATACAAAAGAACTAGGAAGCACAGCGGGCGCTGTCAGTGGCTACTGGATGTTTACAATCATACTGAATTCCATCACTTTTTGCGTGGACATCAGCCATTGCAACAAATTCATTAAAACCACAAATCTGTGGTCCACACTAGCTTGCTAACTCTACGTATTTTTTACTACAGCCAAGCATAATGTAATGTACATTACACTTTGCATGGCCTCATTATTTTGCTCCAGTGGGTAGACCCACGTCAGCATTTTTTTCCTTTTGACGATAAAATTAGCTCAAAACTGCATCACATAAGGATGAAATCATAGCCAGTGTTAACCTGGGGGGGTTATTCTCTTCCATCTTCAGATCACTGAACAGAGATCTTTGAGATGTTTAAGCCTGGAATACTGCTTTTTATCCTAATTGATTCAAACCTTTTCCAGAACTTTCTCCTTGCCCTGTCTGCAGTTTTCCTTGGTCTTTTTAAAGCTAAGTCTTCTTAACAGAAAGCTGGATTTATTCCGATTTTAGTTAGGGTGGGTGAGTTCATATTCATGCCACGCTTTTCAGGTTTTTAATTGTAAAAAAACAACATGAAAAATCTGTATCCTGTTTGTTTTTCCTTGACTTGTTTAACCATGAAAAATCCACAAACGACTCAGTGAAATCTAAGGTTAGAATGTGAGGAATTACGAAGAGGTTCTTGCAACATACTGTGTATACGATAGGAAACAATGCAGCTAGGACATTTAGATGACTTACAAAATAAATCTAAACATATTAATTTAAAAGGTTTGTCTGCACTAACTACAAAAGTAACTAGTAGGGTCTTATTTAGTATTTTTTGGCAAATACCTGCTGTGCAGCTGGTTTCAGCAGGCTGGTTAGGTTCATACGTAGATGGCACAAAATCTATGTGTAATGACCACTCGGTCTTATCTGGGCCTCGGGTTTCAGTAATGATATTTTTAATGTGTGCAGCTAAATATAACCCCTTGAGTGCTTGCATGAAGAGTGTGTGTATGTTGGGGGTTTATGTCCTCCTGCAACTCTGACCACTGAAGGACAAAAACAGACAGTAAAAGAAGGAATTCAGTGCTGTGATTAAAGCAAAGGAGGAACTCCTGTAAGTCATTATTGATGTGAAGTTGCTTGATATGAAACGTCTGCTGGCAGGGAGAGGAGACAGCTGAAAGTCAAGAGGGAGGCATGTAGGTGAGGAGATAACTAATGGCTTAGAGACCCAGAAAAGGGGCTCTAAGATCCTGTTTCACCTGATTCCGCTCACATGAAACGGACGGTGGATCAAGTTTATTTAACCGTTTAACGCCAAGTACATCCTTCTTCATTCGCTTTGTTTCCTATCTCATCAGTAATGAAACAGTTATAAAGATGTGTATGTTTTCATATGAAAGAGATGATCTTAGGAATCTATAAGGATTTTAGAATAAAATTGTCTTTAAAAACCTAATAAAAGCCTGTTGTACCCTGCCCCTCTCAATGAGTGCTTTACAAGGGTACCATTCCTTTCTGTGACCCTTAATTTGAAGTAGCTATGGAAAATTTATGCTTGTCCCGATTTAAAATGAGTAAAACTTTTCTCTGATTTGCTCCTCATGATTAGAAGCTGGCATTTAAAAAGAAGGGATCCCCTGAATATTTGGGTGTGAAGGCTTGTTTCATTGTTAAACCAGTTTAGACTTTCCTTTCCTTGTGCGGCACGTTTAGTTTTCAGCATAGCTGACTTCCAGAGAAATGGGTTTGAAAACAGCTTCCAACTTCTTCTTTCACAAGACTCATAAAAAACAGAGCTGAGAATCTTTATTTTCCTAGAATCAGAATCAGAAATACTGTAACAAAAGTAATCTCCCTCTGGGATTATTAAAGTATTTCTGATTCTGATTCTAAGGAGCAAGTTGGGATTGCAGAATTTGAGCAGATGTGAGGGAAAGGTGGTGCAAATGGTGCATTTTGGTAAAGTGGTGATACATGGCTTAATTTCTAGTTCTGGCATTTCTTTTTTATTGGGTTTACTGTTACTTTGTGCAGCTTTTATTCTGGAGGGTCCTTCAAACATGCTCCACCTCACTTGTCCTTTAATTAGTTGTATCTGTGTGTTGATAAATGTTCTTGAACTATTCATGTCTTCTTTATTGTTGTTTTACCTTCATTAATGCTCATTTCTGTCGTATGTATTCTAATTCTCTTTTAATCTTTCTCATAAATAAATTACACTTTGTACTATGAATGGCAACCCAAATACCACCAATGGTATTTGAACCACAGCTTTAGAACCACATCAAGGGGAGTCAGTTAAGGTTGCTGGGCCATCTGGTCCGAATGTCCCAATCCAAAGGGAATGAACTCCTCTCTCCGGAGGTATTCCAGGTATGTCCCAGTGGGAGGAGGCAAGAAGGTTTCTCCCTTGGCCTGGGTCATTTAGGGCTTTCCCTATGGTGGCTGGAAGAGATGTCAGGGGGAGGAGGAAGTCTGGGTATCTCTGCTGAGTCTGCTAACCACTAACATGTAGAAGATGAGGAGGTAGATTTTTAGAGCCATGGATGTATATTGCTGCTTTAACTGGCCAGTGACTGCAAAGTTTTTGTTTTTTCATTGAATGATGGAAATTTCAATGCTTTTTTAGGTCATGTGTTTTATTTTTTGTTGAGTAAAGAGGCCTAGAGTCAGATAAGTAGTGTAACATCACAGACAAAGAGGAACTAACAAAAGCAGAGCATAAACAGACATATGGTAAATCCCCAAACACTGGAAGTACAAGTTAACCTTCCCTGCAAGCTGAATTCCTTTAGTATTTGTACATTTACTACCACCCCACCCTGTACCGCTCCAGCTTAAACCATTCGAGTCCAATGCAAAACAAGGTGGCCAGTCATGTTGCTGTAGGATGGTTTAAGGCAGGATATTTAGCTGTGATGAAAGCAAGAGCTGCTGAGACCACAGCAGAACCAGAACAAACACAGCAGTGCAGACAGACCTGCTGCTATAACATAAGTTTTTTTTAAACTCCATAATAATTGAATAATAATAATAAATGTTGGGCCGCTGACTAGACCGGACCTCAGCAGAGAGCCATGAGCCACCAGTCTTCAGCCAGAGGAGGGGGGCTGGGGACCAGTAAGGCAGGCGGGGGGAAGCATGGGGCCGCCAATGTCCAGGCTATCGTCACTGAGTCGGGTTTGGTCGCTCAGTCACCTGCTGGCTCCCCGCCCCCGTCCGCAGGGGTTCCCGAACCAGCCACAGAGCTGGCGGCTCGGTTCAAGTGCCGTGTGTGTTTTGAATTTTGGTGCCGGTTGTGTTTCAAATTTTTTTTTTGCATTTGGGTAATGCAAAAAAAAAAACAAAAAATGCATTGATATCCAAGTTTAGAGCATTAAAGTATATATGGTTTTGCAGTGTTTAGGTTACATAAGGGCACATAACTGTTAGAAAACCTGCTGGAAACCCACAAATATTCTATCTTTGATGACACTAACCATCCCAAAATTATACATGTCATTTTCCCTCTGATTATCATTTCTAAACCTTTTTTTAAAAACCATGCATCACTGTCCTTTTAGCTCATGTGCAACTTTCTTCTCCCTATTATAGTTTATAATTGTAACAATACAAAATTATAAGAATATTCCCAAGGATAAAACATATATATTGAGAATCCCCAGTTGTAATTGTGAGTTCTTTCACCTGCAAAATGCATGATGTGAGCCTCCATAGCTGCTGGTCTTTACTTAGCTGAGTAAAAGTGTTCTGAAATAAATCGCCAAATTATAACAAATGAAACTGTTCCAAAGCTCATATTGAATTGCTCCTTTGTTGAGTTTTTATTTTCATTATTTATGGCTGGAAGCAGAAAATGCCAACCGTATGATGGGTGTGATGCACAGAGCTGCTCTCCCTGCTGCTCTTCTGCTGCGTTTGATATGATGGCTGACATTATCAGTGTTTGTGGTGGGATGCTAATTCTTTTTCCGCTCAGTGTCCGCCTGTTTGTGTCTGCCACCTTAGATGATGTGTTGGCGAGGGATGCCGGCGAGTGTGTGATCTGTCTAGAGGAGCTGCAGCAAGGGGACACCATAGCCAGACTGCCGTGCCTCTGCATCTACCACAAAAGGTGACTGACGCACACACACATACACACAAATGGATTTGAATCATTGCCTCTTATATAAATTTGCACTTCTTCTAATTAAATCCACTCACTGCGCTCTGTAAAGGTTTGAAGACGGATTGCATTGCTGTACTTTGATGCAAACATTATTCAATCATATTTTAAAGATAAAGGGCGACCCACAAAGCATTTCTGTTCACTATCAAATGAGATGAAGAGTGTAAGAGGATTAAAAAAGTTCAATAAAAAGCAGAGTTGGTGCTGAGGGTCAAAGTGCTAAAATGTAATGTTATGAAATGTGGCTTGATGAATATTTATCGTCACGACTAATATAAAATGGAACTTCATTAATTAGATAAATAATTAATGAAGTCCTCATGGTTTAAATGCTCAATAGTTCATGGAAACTAAATATAAATATTATCATTCATTCAAGTTTTAACACATTAAATTCCAAAGCTTTAGTTAACTTATTTTTACTTTATTTTCTAAAACTATTTTGTCGTTTAGCGTTACAGTTAAAAGTCAGCTGGGCTAGAACTACCATAGACCAGGTCAGCGCCTCCCTACAGGGGATCAGGTGTCATTGCAGGGGGTTGCTTTAAAAATAAACTGAATAAAGTTGTTATATAAATAAAATAAACATGTAAAAACTGAACTTTAAAGTTTGTAGATTTTTTTATTTTGAAGATTATAGTTTACTTAATTCAAATATGTAATTTGCTGCAGCTGACTTCTCTTTATTTAGCTGCTGAACAGGTTTGAGAGTAATTAGTTATTATTTTAAATGAAAAGGCACCCAGCAACATTTAACCATTGGACCAGCTGATTGGTCAAGGTTTGAAATGGTATGATCAGCTTTAGCAAATGAAATATAAAAATGTTTAGAAAATGTCCAAGTTAGGAGGGGGTGGGAGCATCATGTGTGCCTTTAACATATTAATTAATTCAAGTTTGAATTTCTTATATACACATTGAATCTTTTTTTGCTGATAAAGTTAAAAGCAGGAAAGAGGATTCTGTGGTGGAAGATATGTCCAACGGCTTTTTGCATATTTTTTAGTAGTGCGCATGTGTCAGTGCCCCCTCCTTCGTAAAAGTTCTCAACGCTGGAAACACCTCCGCCTGTAATTTTGTATTTCATCTTGAGAGGCAACAAAGTGCCAGGATTCACCTATTCAGCAGGAAATCTACATAAGTAGATTTGTTGGAGTGTTTTTGTTGCTGCAGGTTTCATAATTTAAGAAAATCCAGAACTTACAACAGAATTAAAAGTAATTTATCTTTCCAGCAGAAGTTTTGCGACCATGCATCCGTTAATGTCCATAATTCCCTAAATGTTGATGCATTTTTATACAAACTACAAATTCACTAAGTTGTCAACTTTTTCTACATTTGCAACGACTAATAAAGTTGAAAGGCCTTAGCAGTGTGTTTACTGTATGGAAAGTTAATGGAAACACATTAGTGAGGTCAGACACTGATGCTGGACAAGAAGGCCTGGCTCTCCTCTAATTCATGAATATGTTCAATCAGGACTGTGCAGATCAGCCAGGTACTTCCACTCTAATTACTCCCAGTCCTTCCTTTTGGTCACAGAATGGTGAATCTGAAGCATTCAGAGACACTTTACTGGAACCCCTGATTGGTTCACATCATAAACATCTCTGCGCAAATGTAGAACGCTTTCAAGCGAGTGTCGTTCACCTGCTGCCACCAAACCCAGACTGGTCCAGTAGATTAACACAAAGACAACCCATTCCATAGAAAGGTCTCCGTCTCTCTCAGGTCCCATGGCCCTTGACCTATAAAGCTAAAGCATCTGAAGCTTTGCATTCTACTTGGCAAGTGAAAGGCTTGCATGCAGCTGCCTGGTCATGGATAACAGTCCCCTGAAGCTCGCTATGCCCTGTTCTTGCATACAGATCTATTCTGAAGACAACATGACTGTGCAGAAACCTGCCGACCTCTGCACAGTTTCCCCCTCAGCGTCCACTGAACCCTCTCTATGATTTTACATGGCCTGCATGGTTCTCTGGTGCCTCCATTTAGTGATAATGCCACTAACACCGTGACTGGGTAAAGTGTAGGTGTGGGGAGGTTGCAGGGCTGGATCTACGATTTTTTCTTAAAATAATTGCTTTTTTTTCTTGATTTGAGAAGGTAAGTGAGACTTTTTGCAAATGGAACAAGCATTTCAAGTGCATATCATCTAATTATTTTTACTTTAAGAGTAAAAATACTAATTCCATTGGCAAATCATTGTGTTTACCTACTCAAATTAAGGGTAAATATATTTAATTTAAGAATTTTTTTTTTTTTTTTTCAGATTGTTTTTGCAGTGTAATGCTCAGGTGGCAGCCTGTTCTTTTCTATCTCTTTTCCTTTTAATGTTCTGTAACTCTAGATTTAAGGTGTTTGGTTGAAAATAGATCAGCTTTCAGATTCAGGTGGGTACACCTAGCCTGCCTGACTTATACCAGGCGGAGGTCAGTCTGAACGGTGATTGGTCTGGCATAAACAGACCAGAGATTGAGGTCCAACATCTAGAAACAAAGGTGTTGATGGCAGCAGCACAGCTGATATTTCTCTCCAGGATGGAGTCACAGCCAAACAGGAACAGACCAGATGAAGCTACTATGAGAAAAAGCAGAGAGAGCAGAACGTTAGAGATTGAGCTAACTAAGAATAGAGATAGAATGAAGCAGACAGTGATTTTCTGAACAGTTAAGAGAGCAACATTTTATTTATGCTCCCACCTTTTGTTATCTCCTGAATGTGCTGTTGATGTCCTTAAAATTTCAACATCTGGCTGCCATAAGAGATTTTCGTTTGAAAAGGTGTTTTTAAATTACATCTGTGATTTTTCTGATCCGTTATATGTTGTTTCCACTGACTGTTAGCTGACTGTTAGCTGACTGTTAGCTGCTCCTTTCTAGACTAATATGCCAAATACACATCATAACTTATTCTGGGTGGTGAAGCTAGTGAACCTGAGTTAGATGTGTTATTTTCTTTTTCTCTATCTGATCAAACTACGCCACACCTGTGTGTCTTTGTGCTTCTGCAGCTGTATAGACTCGTGGTTTGAGATCAATCGGTCCTGCCCTGAACACCCCTCTGACTGACTGACCACCCGGCCCACTCTGAGTTCTCCTCAAGGTGAGAATAACTGCATCATCACGCTCCTCCATGAAGGTGGCTGATTATTTCAGTTCAGTTTACTTACAGTTAATTTATACAGAATCAGTTTTCAGCAAATATTGTATAAAGGCTCTTTTCAAGCTTCACAGGTCAACTTAAATCCAGAAATATATGAGTAAGTCAATCCTAGACAGTCCAAAAGCAGGCGGTTTGATAATCTGATTCTCAGAGCTTTTTGTTTTATGTCGGCAGTTTTGTTTGACTAATCTCAATGCCGGTCCACGACTGACTGATTAAATAAAAGGAAAATATTTCAGTTTCACCGTATTTAGAAAAGATCCCTGTCCGCCACGTAGCTCAGAGGAATATGACGGGAAGGTTTCAGCACAAACAGCAGGAATGTATAGAATCTAACATCAAATGACCAATATATTTTATAGACATGCACCGATTTGTTTGCTTGTGATCAAATGTAACCAATTTTTTAATTAATTTGCTCCGGTAATCGATGGACTGCTCATATACTGACTAATCTGATTTTATTTCCTTCTCATTAACTACATCAAAAACTAAAAGCAGCAGTGAATTCATTTACCAACAGACCGTATGTACTATGATGCTTCTATTTTAGTTCTTATGAATCCTATAATAGTTACGAACATACTGTATGTCTTTATAGATATGTCTGAATAATCTTAGATGTTCTTCATTTTCTGCTAAAATATACTGGTTGCAAAATGAACTCCTCAGTATTTTTTTAAATGAATAAGTCAAAGTCCCTGATAAACCCTGAATAAGTCTGTCTGTAATCCCCAGAAAAGATGCACCTTCTTAGTTATATAAAGTAATATATGATGCGTGGTTTGTTATTTTTATCATAGGTTCACTTCAACTATGAGACAAAAAAATAAATTGCATTTTCAAAGGTTTTATCGGTTGAAGAATAATTATTTGGTCATTAGGTTTCTTATAGTTTCATTTCTGGACTGCATTGTTTTTAATTTTCTTTTTTTTTTGTAACAATAATGGAACGAAATTCACTCCATAGAAAAGCTACTTGAAGAACAAGCTCCAGATCTGCAGACATTTTGCTCGTTTGTTGGTAACCACATACTTAATTTCCACGAATAAAAGACCTAAACAGTGATATCATTGTCTCATAGTTGAAGTTTACCTATGATAACACATTAGACATCTCTCCTCTCTGAGCAGGAAAACTTGCACAATCATCCATCCATTTTCTTTACACACTTAGTCCCAAGTGGGGTCACAAAGGGTGCTGATGCTTATCTCCAGCTTTCAACGGGCAAGGGGCGGGGTACACCCTGGACAGGTTGCTAGTCCATTGCCAGGCAACATAGAGACATGTGCATGCTCATGCAAACTCTGCACAGAGTTTGCATGTTCCAGGAATCAAACCCAGAACCTTTTTGCTGCAAGGCAGCGTGCTACCCACTGCTCCACTGAGCAGCCCTTGCACAATCAGGGTTGCTAAATCCTTTTTTTTGTTCTCCGTATGTTTCCAGGAACTTCTCCAGATTGCTTGACAGCAGCCAATTCTGCCAAATTTGGCACAGATCAACATGGGCTTAGATGTTTTTTTTTTTCCTTAGTTAAATGACATTACATTTTAAAAAGTGCATTTTTCTGTTTATTCAGGTAAACAACAAATTGTTTAGGATTTAAATGTCATGAGAAAGAAAACCAGACAAAATCTGCTTTTGATCTAAAACGATTTGAAGGTTAAATGGTTTAAAGCTTTTGACTCAATGATGATGCCAAATCAGTTTCCAATTGCAGAGTAATACCGTGTTCTGTCTCTGTCCTGTCTGTCTCCTTTCTGTTTGGGGGACATTTAGGTTCCTGCCATGGACATCTGGACACAGATGCTACCAAATCTGATGAAACAATCAAAGCGATCACCACATACCCGCCGTGACGGAATCCATAGTCCCATCAGATGTAAACTGAACCAAAAAGAAAAGTCTGGCTGTCCAACCATCCCACATTAAAGGGCATCTGTTGAGCTTTTCATTCTGAAACCTGAGGGTAACACTGCATACATCACAGACCCCTTCTGCCTCCCCCCCAGATACGTCTCCAAATCGCGCATGGCCACCTGTGGAGATGCTCGGGTCTTAACCGGGCCGCCATCTCTGCTCTGGATCCAGGCATGTCTGTAACTTGTGTCCGGTCCTCCGATGGCCTTAACTGGGTGGGGGAGAGGAAGCAGAGCAGGGTGGGGTGGAAGAGGAACTACCACAGGATGAAGCAGAGGCAGAGAACTGCAAACAGACTTGTACATTATTCAGTGGGCCTCTCATCTCTCACAAACAGGACTCCAGCTTGGTGGTGATCTCTCATAAAAGCCTGCCTCACAGTGTGCTCCTCTCGCATAGTCCCTGCAGTTCTGCATTCCTTCCTCACCACATTAACTACATCAGAAAAATGCTTTTCAGATCCGGACTGTGCGCCCCTGAGCAGGACGAGAGGAAATGATCTGTCAGCTTGTCCTGTGCGTTCGCTTAGCTCGGTCTGTTTGGGTGTGGAGAGGAGCGATCTGAGCATGCTCAGTGCTGACTGGGACGGAGGGAGGAAGGAGCAGGAAGCAATGCAGCTTATGCCCTTAAAGTGTGTTTGGGATGCTCCAGTGTCCGGCTTCACCTGGATGTGTGAGGATGGCGTGTCTGCGTGTGCTTGGATTAATGACAGCTTACTGAAACTGTATGTGTGTGTGAAAGGTGGTGGCAGAGGGCTGACTGGGACAGTCTTGTGTGTGTCTCTGTAATGAAATGTTTACAGTCTAGATGTTTGTGTGTGACTGGCAGTCCTCCCTTTACTTTGCTAATGTTTACAGCTGCAGAAAAGCAACATGACATATTGTACATTTCACTTGTGAAATCTCTCTCCGTTTCCTCCATCAGATCTGTCTGATTTTTCATGGAGAAATGAGTCATTTCTTAAAGAGAGACTGTAGAGGGAGAGCGAGTGTGAGACTGTGTCCGTCCAATATATGGAGGGATTGCTGAGTGGAACGAGCCAGAGGACCCAAACAGCCACACAGGTTTCTGAGCAGCTTTTCCCTTTCAAGTCCCAAAAAGGAAATTTATTGATATTTTTGATGTATTATATTTGATATTTTGTTTTATATTTCGAATTTTGATTCAAAAAACATCAAACGATATTACATTAGGCAGACATGAAGAAAGATTTTAATTATAGAAATATTTAAGTCTCTGCTGAAGAGAATTGTTCACAGAGTGAGGTGTTCAAGCATATGATTGGAAAATTTAGTGGAAGGAAAAAATTCTTATTTTCTTATTTACATTTTAAGGTCTTTTTTTGTGTGACATAAATCATAACCATCAATATAAACAACAAACATAAACACTGTCGTCAATTAACTTTTCTCATTTGCATGCGTTGCAGATGATGCTTCAGATGTAAAACCAACTGGAATAAACTTTACTATTACTCATTTTAAATAAGTAATTTAACGTCTGGCTGCATACTTAATGAACAACTGATTCCCTTTAAAGTCATATAAATTATTTATGACAGTGAAGGAATATCGTTAAACTCAATTAGATCAAAGTGACTGTAAAAAAAAGAGAAAATAAAAAACTATCCAAAACCGATCTAGGAAGCTTTATTATTGCATGAAGTCATATAATTATTATTATTCAATCACAAGAATTCTTGTTTAACTGAAGTCTGTGTCTGAAACTGGGACTGATCAGTAAAACAACTGAGGAAAATGTCAAGAAGGTTTCATTAAAGGTCAACATTAAAGTCAGAATATTCACGTAAAAAACAGTTTGACTCCAATTCACGGACCTTCAGCATCACACTTGATAGTGATAATAACGCTGATATAGAGCATTTCTTCAAGGTTTTTCAAAGAGACACTGCTGTGTTTCTGAAAGATTAAATTTGAGTTTTCCTCATCATAAGATCCAGTTGCTGTCAGCTCATGACTTTCTCTATTTTAACGCCTTTTCTCAAATCTTTGATTGCATTTTTGTAATAAGAAATTTTACTAGTATTATCCAAATGAGCTTAACGCAGATAAAAAAAAAAAGGTTGTTGTTCGGAACAGAAAGTCCAGAGACAACTAAGTTTTTAAAAACTTCTATGGGTTGGGCACAAAATATCTGAATTTTAAATGACAAATAGTAAAAACGACGTATCTAAATACCTCTCTGAACAACAGATGAAAGTAGAAAGTCACTCCAGAGAAAAACAGCAACATCAAAAAAATCACTTTTTCATAAAACTTTGAAATAATTGAACAAAAACGCCAAAACATCTATTATTCTATTAAATAATACAAAATAGATTTATTTTTTCATTCTTAAGTTTAGACATTCTTCAGGAATTTTCAGATTCAGTGACCAAAAAAACCTCGATAAATCTTTAAAGAACAACTTGTGGCTGCTTTGATCCTCTCTTCCATCCTCTGTTCATGAGTTGTTGTTTTTCCGCTCGTAATTCCTCCATGACTGTTTGTGCATGTGTGTTTGCTAATAACAGGGGGCTCTTCGGCCTCTGCTCCAGCCCCCCCGCTCTCACATTGTGTGTCTGCTGGAAACAGATCTGTTTTGTCTGCGACTGGAGACACGAGGCACTAACACCCTGGAAAAAGACTGTCGTTCCACTGTGGAGCCACTGAACGGGGCTTATTTATTCATTTGTTCATATTTAACAATATTTGTTTGATATACCAATCATGTGAGGTGTAACTCACGTCTCAGAAAGCCAAGAGCTGATGTGTGAAGACTACTACGAAAACAACGTACAAACAAACTGCATTTACAAAGCTACTGTAAACAAATGGTGGAATAAATTGTGCTAGATGACAAGAGTATTTTCTGCTTTTTTATTTT